CAATCAAGAGTCACATGAAGCAATGCACTAGTCATTGCAAACTGAAACAATGGCCCTAAACACAAAGCCGACGTTAACACAACCGTTATCAGTTCATTTTATGCGTATTAGATGCGAGATGGCTCAAGTGGTTAGAGCGCGAATCTACTGCCCGGAAGATCTGTGGTTCGAACATGACCCCTGCTTCTCGTCTTCCTCCGTCTGGGCTTGGGCAGTGTCCCAGCCCTCGTGCCTCCTTCGGGTGGCCTGGCAGCTAGGCACCGAAAGGGTGCTACAGCTGAACGATTATTGCTAAGGGCTGTGTTGTATGGGTGTGAGACGTGGCCTCTGCGGACGGATGATGTGAAGCGGCTTCAGGTTTTTGACCACCGATGCCTCAAGCGTTGTTGGTGTTGGATGGCGTCAGCATGTTAGTAACGAGGTGATTAGAAAGCGTGGGTTTGGTTGTGCGGTAGTTAATTCAACTGCGGACAACATCCAGCACCATCAGCTGCGCTGACTCGGTCATGTGCCACGCATGCCGAAACACCGTCTACCGAGAAGAGTGTTGTTCTCCGTGCCTCCTTCAGAATGGCGCAGAACACGAGGTAGACAACGTATGACTTGGTGGAAGGATGTGAAAGAGATTACGAAGAGTTTGGGTCTTATTGGTGGGTGGGGTCACAGTAACCCCGCATGTGTTTGGCCGGAGACATTGCAAGAAATGGCGGCTGATCGATGTCAGTGACGTTCGTGCTGTCAGTCTTTTTCCAGATCGTCCGATTGTTTGGAGGTGTAGTCACCTCAGAATGTTGACGTAGGCCAGCACCAGGTCACCGCTCTCACCCACTCTTTTTCTCTTCTTTTCACTTTAAGTCTAATTAGACAAACTTTATGGTTGTATGGCAGTGAAGCATAACTGTCAACGCTGATATTGCTGTCTCTGATTATGATGGCGTAGATTTCTGGGAACTCAGGCGGTTTTCGCGATGTTCGTCGCTGAGAGCAGGACTCGACCAAAATATAAGCAGGAATTGCTGTCAATCATCGCTCACCGAGAGGAAGAATCTCTGAAATCCATGTTGCCGGCAAATCCCAAAGCAGAAGCCGTTACTGTAGTGTACTCGAGATAGCCCAGTGTGAACCTGCTGGCCGCAAGACCCGTGGTTCGTGCCTTAGTCTAGGCTTGAACAGCTTGGCAGTACCTCAGCCCTCATGTTTCCTTCAGGTTGTATGACAGCTATGCGCCGAGTGTGTTACGGCCGAACGATTTTCTCAGTATAGTTGGTACAGCGCAATGATCCCACAAGAATGGACATCCTCGGAGTCCCGCAAATCCGATGTCTTCTGGAGGAGTTTGCTTTCAGCCCCCCCCCCCTACTGTTATCCCTTAATAAGAGAGGACAAATAGTCCAGTTTGCCACCACTGGAAAGCGTAAATAAGATCCAACCATATCAGTGATTTTTTTTGCGTATTTCAAGAGCTCTATTTGTGCAGGTCATCCCACCAGGCTTTACCCCTGATTTCCTACCAAGACTCACTCTCTACAGCAGGACCTTGCGGTCATGCATGGCAGTCGCCTGAAATAGACTGGTTTACGACTTGAAAGTCGTTTTCCGGGGCGAGATGTCCCGAGTGGTAAGACCGCGAATTTACTGACCGGAAGGTCCGTGGTTCGAATCCCACCTCCGCCTCTTGACTTCCCCTGTCTGGGCTTGGGCGACCTGGCAGTATCCCAGCCCTCGTGCAACCTTCGGGTGGCATGGCAGCTAGGCACCGAAAGAGTGATACAGATGAATGCTCTCTCTCTTCCTCTAACTATAACCTAATGAGCTCGGTTTTTTAAGAGTCCTGTTAGAAAGGAAATCCCGTACCCAACCCCCCCATCATCGGTGAACGAAACTGCGGCAGCTCCAACCACTTTACGACAACTACGCTCTTATTACAGCTGACAATGATGATGATGATGTACCGATGTAGGTTACCGCAGCAATCCCCTCACACATGGTTCCTCTTAAGAAAGTCCATCCCAGGAAGAGTTCTCATCCCCCTTTCCCATGATTGTTCCGTACTTCACCCTAAGTCGCTTTCGTTTATGCGAGGTGTTTTGTCCCATCTACACTTCTTTAGCACTCCATCGTCTAATTTATTGTTCATCGTCTTTCAGATAATACGACAGTAGTCGGACAAGTGACCCACCCAAGCTGGGGTGTTCAAATCTTCACCACATTGCTGTATATTTCAAGGCAGCTGATTCCTTTTCCCCGTTGATCGCGACCCCGCTTTTTCGTTATCATTTTCACTGTCCGGGATGCCCCACAAGATCGCCCGAACTGATGGTGATGTCGTTCAACCGACCGTACAACTTGATTTGGAAGGCTTCACTCCGTCTGAATCTGATGTAGATGGCATTGCCATGTTACTAAAACATCTGTTTCATTCGTCCCCGACAGCGAAGGAACTCGCGGACTATATAGTGGAACACAGCCACTGTGCGACTGTCGTGAGACCCTCTGAGGAATCAGGGGATGAATCGGATGAAGATACCGACGATCCAGCTATTGTCCTCTCCTTGACCACGGCTGTCAGTTTGGCTGCAGCGGAAGGTGAAAAACACAGCGTCATAAAGCAACTTCGTCAATTCCTCATGGACATCATATCCGATGCAGAGGCCTGTGCTGAAAAAGATACTTTGCTTAATTATTTTTCTCCATCCTCGCCCTCAAGGTTATTCCTTCTTCTGAACGAACGTTTCGACACTTTCCCTCTGTCCATATGTGCTGACGCCGTTGCCGGTCTTCCAGCCGAGTTGAAAGAAGCTAATCTTAATCCGACCGACCTGCTACTCTTCACTCGAGCCCATCGAGCCCACGGAGAGATTGAATACGCTTATCCAGAAGTGGAAAAGATTATCCCCTTCTCCAGTGTACATCTCGAAGTCACCAACAAATCGGCCACTGATGAAGAAGACTTCAACACGTTTTTCCTATCGATCTTACCGATGAGCCGATTTCCAGATGTACTGGAAAACTTACGCCGAGACTTGTAAATTTTTGGCATTGTTTTCTTTTGAAAGATTAACAACCTGCTTGTGGACATTCTTTTTATTGTTTTATCGGTTTTCCTGATCGAGGTCAGACGGATCCGACATTTATAGGTTCGTTTTTTCACTGTTGACTTACGTATGTAGACAACATTGCATGCTTATGCAATGAATATTATGCGTAAATACACACAGGGTCCGATAAGCTACTAATCTAATTCAACTTCCAGTACCTGCTTCAACCAGTCGATCGAGGAACCGTGACAGCGACGGTAAGATGTTGATTCCGTGCAGCCTTATTGAAAGTCGGTGGAAGTCTGCAGCCTCCAGAATTCCGCGCTGCATTTGTTGCGTCTCTTCTGTTAGGGATCGTCTGAAAGTAAATGTAAGTGAGCAATTAATTTTTTTCAACCACTTGTACTGTCCTTTCAAAATCTCGTCTTAATTTCATTGGCGAAAATACCGCAGAAGTCAAGCTTATGGGGAAAAGCATTTGAATCACCGATTCTGGAGGGCCTGTTCTGCTCTGTGGCCATGAAACCTGGCTGGTTGAGCTAAATATTGAAATGATGTAAGATATCTTATAATCGCTATGTTAAGGACGACAGATAGCTTGTTTGAAGTCCTAAATGAGCACTGGGTCATGAGTCGGCTTTTAGATAAACACAGGTAAAGCTCATGTCGGGAAAGTGTGCGGTAAGTTTGCCGCGTTCCGGGAGGGAGGGCACTTTGCTCTTCATTTTTAATCCTAGCCGTCAAAGTTTGGCGGTGGATGGGTTGCGATATTACAGAGTGAAACCACAGTAATGGAATATTCGCTCCCTCGTGGTTGTGATCATCCCCTTGCTTGTCTGTTGTTTCCATCCTGAGTGTCTCTCATTAGTGAATGTTCCAAGACCTGCCATGTGACCCTTTGTCTAAGTTTTTCACTACAAACCACTACACTTTGCGACTGGAACTTTCGTGCTCAGTCCTCTGGTGATGAAGCGGGTGATGGAATGACATCCAGATTGAACGGAAAATTACAGGCTGAAGTATAGAAGTACGAAGTGCACCTAGAAATCGATGTGAGGTCACCTGTCGAAAGCTTCCATCAGTCCTTGTGCTCAAAGGAAGCAAAGCAATCACGTGTTGGTGGCCAACAGTTCCAGCTGTGAATCTGAATCACTTCGCTCTATGAAGCACGTGTTCGTCGATCTGCAGCTGAACAGGATTCCCACTATTCGTACGACCTGTGCCATAAGAACATCGTAATTTTTCCTGGCAAACCCTCCACAGTATTGTCTAGGTTCTCCAAGGGGATCAGAGCTGTATGTCCTATCGTAGTTGAAAATGATAGCTAAGGATTGGCATCATTTAAACTTGGTAATGTTTCTGAGGCCTCTTTTTCTTGCTAGGTTTTGTTTGAGATTTTGTGACAAATCCTAGTGCCCCTGACTACGAGGGGGAAGGGAACAATTCTGGTGGAATTGTGAAGTTATCACCACCAGGGTTGATACTGATGGCCGGGTGCATTTGAAAACGAAATGAATGGCAGGCGGGGTTTTGCAAACTAACGATGATTGTCCAAACACCATCGAAAATTTTAAAGATGCCGAACTAAAGCTAATATCGAGCCTTGCTAGTTTCCAGAGTTTGCCGGAAAGTGAGCGAGTAGTCAGCATTGATCAAGGCAGCTACAACTTGAAGATGTGACGATGTTGGTATAGTTCATACGCAACCCAGTGAAAATTAAAAATAGCTTCCACCTGGCCTTGTCTGCTCCCCGCTTTAAACAAGCACTACTTCGAAGCAAGAAATAGTTCTGCTTCTATGAAATATTTTTCATAAAGAATGGGAACTTTACTCGATGAACGGGTGACTGCCCGGAATTTGTCTCCTTTGACGCGGATTACGTAGTGGAATCGGGGAACCAGTACCATCTTCCTACATAAAATTATTTCCCACTCTCCCCAATTTGTGTAAGCAGTCAAAGACCACCAGTGGATGTCGATGAAGAACGGCATTTTGGACTCTAACAAGGCACGATTTCTGAGTCGAATTCTTATGCTAGCCCCAGTTGGGGTACTTTACTTGCACCATCATTACTTGCAAAAGAGCCAACAAATCCACTATTGTCTCCAGGACTTACAGATTCTTCCGGTAGTAAAACCTTTCTGCCAGTGCGCAAAGGACACAGAATTCATCGACCGTTAATGCCTTAGAGTCTGCGTTGATTTCGAGTAAGCTGAACAGTTCTTGCGCTTGCTCTGCTTCCAGTGTGCCACCGAGGAGTCCACTGATTGCGTCTGTTAGGAACTGAAATTTAAAAGGTTGGGATTTTGCGTGATTCATCTTCTACAGGAAGTTTTATGCGTATTCTGATTTATGCAAAGTGACAAGTTTCGACAATGCGGATAACGCCGCACGTCACTGTTACGAAATCCAGTGCTGTGGTAATGGTTTCTGAACACTTACGAAAAGTTTTTATCGGCCTGGCTTTGAGCTACCTGGCTGGTACATGTGCGTTGATGCAGGAAGAACTCTATGGTTTATCGTTTGTTTCTAGCTAAGTGGAATAGTTACTACGATCATAGTCTCTCGGGCCTCCTGATTCAGGCTTCATCGCCGAAAGTCATTTAGACAAAAATGGGGAACTTTATTAACGGAAAAGTTCAACGCATTTCTCACTGGATTATCCGCTGAACTTTCCTGTCACTGATGTTCCCTTCGACGAGTTTCTGCAAATAGCGGAGTGACTTCTTCCTCACCCTCAGCAATGAGCACAGGTGCTCGGTTGTCATGTCTTTTAGTGTTCCTAATCTCTGTTATCCATTGCGTTAAGCTCCAGCCTAACCACCTGCATTGGATTCTCCTGAACTCGAGGTGTGATGTGACTCTACCTGATAAGAAGATAACGGCTAACTCATTGCTCGGGACAAGTGCGATAGTTACTGTCAGGTTTTGGCGGACCAGTCCCAGAGGACTGATAAAGGAGGCAACTAGTCTATTGGACACAACTTTATCAAACGATCTTCAAATGTTCAACACTTTCTCCTGGCAAGATAACCACACAGCGAACAGAAATAAAGAGGGCAACGGGCAACGTTCTGATCCATGAACGTCTGAGGCCTGTGTGCGCGTTTGAACTCGGTTGTATAGTTCGTAGGCTTCGAGACAGTGTAGTGATTAGTTTTTTAACGAATCGACTAATGCAACTCGTTGACCGTGCTGCTTTGGATACCGAAAACCCCACACAACAGAGATTTGAGCTCCAGATACTTCACCCTTGATCACTTTGGCCTTCGATGCCAACAAGCCGTATATATTCATTAGAGGCCCTTCCAGGTTGTTCATCTCATAATATAAAGTTTGGTGCTGACTGCCCACTGTTGGGGGGTCCTTCGAATAGGGAAGTAATCTAATCTAGAATGCAGGAATACTAAGAACATCTTCAGTTCATCACCTTGGGTGGTGATGCAACCCAAACGAACCTCTAACTTCGTCATTAATTTTGACCAGTGGTTATGGCAGTTGTATGTGGAAGAGATTTTGGTGTCTGTCACTTTGCATCATTGTCTCTTGCTAAAATGGCTGTGCCATCCCTAAGTTTTGCTGAATGAACATTGGATTCGCACCTCAGATAGTGCCCCAACCAAGTTGATAGACTAACCAGACTTGCTCTGTGACCTGTGTCATTATCATAACCACTATCGATGACCGCCAGTGCTGACTTAATTCCAGTTATGCAGTCGTTATCTTGGTTTTTGTACCTCAAAGTTTCGGGGGCATCATATAAGTCGCCTGACTCTGGTTGTCCGTCAACCGTGTTCAGCTTACTAAACCAGTTATTCGTCTGTGATAGAAAACTTATTGTGAATCTAGATGTACCACTTGTGAGATACCCACATAGACCGTCTTGAAATCACAGCGTGACTTCCACGGTAAGACAAATTCATCCTGACCTGAGCAGTCCATAAATAGTGAAGATAAGTGGATGAACATATTTGAGGCGGGAATTTGACTGGTCAAAATTCTCACTGACCCAAACGTCGTTCGAGGTGAACTGTCTCGATTTGGCCCTTGGGGATCGTCGTCTGGTTCCATTTTATTTGTGAAAACACCTATACTTTTGCTCGATGTTTAGTGGTGTTTACTGATACTTAGTAGACTGATGGCTCCGGGTAGAATCAGAACAAAGTTGGTCCCAGTCTCTAGGCTAGGCACAGACATTAAGTATGGATAGATCGGGATGATAGATCGCCGAAACTACATGGCATAAATTATATACACGTGTGGCGATCGAAAAGAAATGATACGAAGGTTTGGCACTGCCAACAACGAACTGTCAACACTAACCACTAGGGGAGGAAGATTGAAAACTTCCAGATGAACTGTTTGATGTGACAGGGCTGCACTAAGCAAATGGTTTCCAGAGTCGGAGTCGTGAGCCGAATCTTACGAGTCGTAGTGTTTTGCCCCAGATGAATTCATTTATACCAAAGAAAAATGACGACAGAAAAGTATTCATACACCCCGAACTTATGCCAATATGTCAAAATACAGGCATCTATGGGACGCTCATTAGTTGTCAATCAAATGGTTGTTGATCTGTTTGCCAACCCCATCCACTGGTTTTCGCACATTTTGTCCCCATTTGAAAATGGATCGACAGAAAAAATGAATGGCCGAATAACCAGCCAAAACCATAAGAATCAGGGCACAATAATAAACTCAGAACGAACAGAAAGATTTACAGAAAGAGGAGATAGCAGAACGACCAATCAAAAACAGTCCACAGCGCAACACAAACTGTGAATGGACCAATCAGAAAGGACACCGAGGCTACGGGATGACCTCTATTCAAAGAATCAACCGGATACGAGCAATCCAACGTGGCAAGGGTGCCAGTGAAACTACGAAAATGCTGTCCTTCAGACGGTCAGTTTCATTGTGAGATATGTTTCTCTTTAAAGACTGCATAAGCACAGGTAAGCTGGGACGACGGTCCCACCCAACTGTACGCAGAGATGTCTCCTCAACTGATGACGAAGCGTTCGCGAACCAGTTGCCAAGCTTAGCGAACAGACCAATGACCATCTGATCAACAACCAACTGGGATATCTGCTGGGTCAACTTGCGAAAGAATTTCACTGTATCTCGTGTTAATTAAGCTATTCCCACTGTAGTCTATCCTTTCTCTACATAAGTCAGTCATCAAAGTTTTGAAGTAAAACAAATAAAGATTTACTTTCTTTAGCTTGTCTAAATAGTTACGAGCGTCGACCCTACAGTTAATGATAAAAACTGTTACCAAAATGTGGACCTACTTTCTCGCAGTAGCTGGCATGAGATAACTGGTGTTGATCTAAAATTCATGGACCAAACTGCCACATATGTTCCACCCTTAAGGCCAAGGAGCAGAGGACCGAGTGTTTCCCATCCTGTGGCTGCGACTCTCAAGAAAGCTTTATTCCGAGCTACACCTGGTCCACAAACTGTCCTCTGATTTGTGATTTACTCAAACCAATAGTCTTTTGAGACTTTTCTCTTTTTGAAACTGGAACTATGGCATCAGTAACTGTTTAGAAACTATACTATGGTTGACTTAAAACTGACAGCAGCGAGATTTCCATCTGCAAATTGCAGAGCTGGTCTTCCCGTTGCAAGTAAATAAGTCGAATCAAACGGGTCGTTTAGGTGTAGTCAAGCTGCCGTGTCAGCCGTAGGAAGCCCGGGGGCTGAGTTACTACCAGGCTGTTCAAATCCAGACAGGAGTAGAGGCGGTGGGTTCGAACCATGGACCTTTTGGTCACTAATTTCACACTTTAAACACTGGGCTATCTCGGTCGCTTCAGTTGCAAATAATTCTGGTATATTGCTTTAAATTGAGGATCAGATACTGATTCTTCTCAGTGGAACTAAGTCGAGCGTCCGTTCTCCTTCTGATACAACCTTTACGGCTTCCAAAGTTTGTAGATTACCAGTTCGAGTCATCCGCTTATTCACACTTGTCCAAAAATTCATACACTACCAATGCATATCCATCGTCTGCTCTGAGCTTCTTTAAAGCTGGCAGTTTCATTGAAGTGGAACTGAAAGCGAAGCTTTTTCACCTCATGGTAAACGAAAGACTTGACAGAGCCGCTGGACAGAAAGTGTTTCACCGGCTTTCGCGAACTACACTCAGTTGCAAATCAATTTGGTTCTCACGAGAGACTCAACTGAATCTCTCGTTTATGATGTTCTTCAACTGAATGTGCTGCACACAGGTCGCCTCACGTTTCAATTGGCACGATATTCGAGATATCGCAGTATATTTTCATGAAGGAAACTACTCACAAGGTTGCTGAAAACTCTTCGACAGCCCACGACCAGTTTCGCCCTTCTTGGGGCTCATCAGATAAACGCAGTCCCCAAGTTTCTGAGTTACTTGAACCCAAATTGCACTGTTTTCGAGAAATACACTCATTTGCAAAGGAATTTGGTTTCCACGAGAGACTCAACTGAATCTCTCGTTTATGATGTTCTTCAACTGAATGTGCTGCACACAGGTCGCCTCACGTTTCAATTGGCACGATATTCGAGATATCGCAGTATATTTTCATGAAGGATGTTTAGGCTTTACACGTCCAAGCCAAAGTAGTCTAAATGTACTGACAAACACCGAGATCGGCTGACAGCCCTTATGCCCGGTTAGATGGAAATAGGTATGGGGCCACAAATATTACCTTGGAAATACTTGATTACATTTTTGTACGTCACCAAATGCACGGATTTGTAATTACCACTCTCTGATAACCGCCCTTACTGGTCTGCCAGACGTGGAAGAAAACTTGATCAGTGCAGTTGACCCACACAACTAACAATATTCTCATGCCACATCGGCCGTCGCGTGGTGCCATCAGCCGGGTCGCCTTACTTGCTGCATACAGCAGGGCGGGTAAGCGAAAACACAGAGTGCCCGTTTGATCATGATCGCTTCCAAGTTGCCCACAGATATGATCCCACGCAGGAATACCAGCACCTTTGTGAGGAGAGCCGTGAAAACCAAGCAGAGTTCCGTTCGGGTCGTGGCTGCATTTACCATATCTCTACCTCACGACAACTGCTGGAGCATCGTCACACAGAAAAACAATAATTGTTGTTCTCATGTCTGAACGTAATGTCCGGCTCGGTCGCGCTGCTTTGTGGGGATGTCTATCTTTCAATGGTGTGCCACGCATTTTCTTCACAGTCCTCCAACCATCATACTATATACCTGCGGGCGCGTTAAGGTCTGCTGGGAATACTCTCCCAACATGACCAAAAGTGGTGCCCTTCAGGCTTACTGTTTGTCACCTTTTCTCCATAACCTAATAGTGGATTAATTAAGTGAGAAACTTTTGTTGTCTTTCACCCTAATTTTGGACCTTCTTTCCTGGGAAGCCCTTAAATTCATTGAATATTTGGCCAATGTTGCGCTACTTCTTTCAGTTTCCATTCAGATAAGAAACACACCAAATAACCTAAGTGATGTTACCATGCGTTTCGAATTGCGTCTCTCACCCTCAAAGTACGAAGTGCTATTATACGACTGGGCGAGCGCGCCACTAAAACAGGCTATGGTGTCAGAACCAAGTTACTGTCTGATTTCGTTTCCCCATCCTGCTGCATTCGGGGATTAAGGCGACCCGGTCGATGGCATGATTTCTTCTTCCAGGATGGGGACCGCGTGATCCTCGCTGTGCCTGGTTGGAGACACTACAAGATATGGCTGACAATCGATGTCAGTGGCGTTCTTGTTGTCAGTTTCTGTCCAGATTGCCTGAGTGAATGTCTGGAGGTGTAGGCACCTCGGAATGATTGTGTTAAGCTAGCACTAAGTCCCTCCCCCATCCACCTTTATTCTTTTCTTTACAATAAGGCTTTCAAATAAGTCATGGCTGTACGGCAGTGAAGCATTGGTGTTGAGCACTAATGTCATGCTGTCTTTGATGATGATGATGATGCTTCTCAAGTTCAAGCTCTAGTCCTTTCGCTTCTAGCTCTGCAATGACTTTAGCTGTTCAGCTTTCAACCGTATCAGTGACATTAGGTTGATTCAAGGATAAAGTCGTTCCGGTAGACCAGCTGATGTGATCAAGACCAGGTTGACGAAGAAGTACTAGTTGAACTAACTAGGCTAATTCGAGGCTACAGTGGTCTGGATTAACGTCCTATTTGACAATGACGACCGAGATAGGGTGCTACGATCCAGTCATTGTCACACTATAAAAACCTAACTCTGATTGTGGCTTCTGTGCCTTTCTTTTTGGTCATACCAAATGGGATTTTAATTTAGAGTGCTATTTCACGCACAAACCGCGATTCAGTACCACCCAAGGGCAGTTTCCAACAGACATCAGTTATGATCAGTTATGAATCGGCCGATCGACTCATGACATATCGGTCTATTCCATCACTCAATGAAGTAACAATATCATTCTGCCTACCTGCGCTATCGGCGTGTAAGGGTAAATTGTTGGCCAATCACAAAAGCACACAGCGACTCGATTGTTTCTTTCAGCGGGGCAGTCGATATACCGCATGCACAAAACCACGATAATCACGAATGAGTCGGCCAGTAAGTGATATTTTTCACAATTAGTGGAGGATATAGAAAACTGGCGTTCCATATGCCATTTCGGGTCGTTGAGTTACTTACCTTAAGGCTTACTCGGGGTCTCCGATTCTCGTGCATTCGTCCAAATGTTCGTTGATACAGGGTCTGACGATTATTGGATATGATGCAATATTTGAGGCAGTAAGCCATCGGTGTTAAGCCTGAAATGGGAAAGTTCTTTTCAACGCGTATCACATCTGTTTAATAGACAGGCACTCTCTTAATGATGTACCCATCGAGCTATGGATAACTGTCGTTCCTCTATTTATCGATTTCTTGATGTTTCTGCCCAAACAACTGATAGCTACCTACCTGACCATTTACATAAAACAGATAACCGTGCACTGCGTTTAAACAGTCAATTCGCGCAGGCTGTGGCCGAAAAAAACGTATAACGAAGATATGAAATCCTGTCAATAACACTCAGCTGATTAGCACATTCAGCTCACCCTCTAGAGTCTGAGTACTGTCTGTTAAAACTTGGGATTTCCGCCTTTTACCTCAAGCTGTGCTCAGCATCCACCGAGGCCGCAGTGATGCCGAGTTCAACCAAATTTTTCAATGAATCTCACTACTGAAACCCAGTACAAGTAGCAATGCGTATTAAGCAGTTTGTGAAGGATTCTTGCTGCATACCGTGCTCCGAATGCACCATAGCGACAATGCGGATTAAGGTGCTCTCGCACGTTGGCAAAACCATCATTTCCAAATGACCCAACTCATCCAAGAATAGGGTGTTAATCCTCCCCACTAATTGTGAACGAGGTGAACCCTCCCCCCAAGATAAAAACAGCCCACTGGAAGAAAGTTGTTGCTTTTGGGGGTCTGCTACACATTCATGAAAAACTCCGAGGTCTGAGGCAAGCTAACCTCAATGTGTGTTATACGCAGTGCCTTTGACTTGATGATGTATAGTAAGGCAAACTACGAGAAGCATTCTTTTCTCCACTTGGAGTTTCGTCTTCCTGATCAAATAATCATAAGCCCTTGCTTAGATTCGTTTGATGAAGGCCTAAGAGATTAGCCACCCAGTTATCCCCAATATAGGAGAACTCAGAATATTGATACTGGCTTCTACCTACCCAGAGGAACGCACCAAGCTCAAATGATTGCGCTGCTTTCCAGGTATCAAACAGGCCTTCAAAACTCAAGAGGATAGCATGTAGCAGTAAGCGATCCTCCACTCACAATGGTCGAGTTGAAACCAAACTCAGAAGTAGAAACTGGCACGTTGTTTTAAAGAGCGAATAACTTGTTGGTTCAAATTCACTCCTTTTGAGAATGACAAAAGTGTCGTCTACATAACAGATCCATATCTTGGGGTTTATGTCCGGAAGTACAATTTGCTCTAGTTCTTGCATTACAACTTCTGCAATAAATCCAGAAATCCGAGATCCCATCGGTGTTCCTCGTACCTGTTTGTAGTAGTCGCCGTTGAGTTCAAAATATGTGGTCAGGCACAGGCTGAGCGATTCGCAGAGGTCTTCTTTTTCCAGCGATCCATTTGGTTTGTCATATCCGTCCAGCAGTTTGGCGAGAGTCATCTTGGCGGTGTCCATATCTACCGATGTAAACAGTGAGTTCACATCAACGGAAACCATCATTTCATCCTATTCGATCTCTATATTTCTCAGTTTCTCCAGGAATTGTCCTGCGTTGTTGACTGAGCTTTGTGACTCACTAATGAGATATTTCAACCTCCTCCACAGTTCTTTCGACAGGTTGTAGTTTGGAGTTCCCGGGAGCGATACGATTGGTCGTAGGGGTGTTGTTTCTTTATGAACTTTCGGGAGTCCATAGAAGCGGGGAATGTCCATGTCCGGAGCTCTAATTTTCCAGTACTCTTCTCGTGTGATTCTTTGGAGCTCATGGAGTTTCTCCAGTTTTCTATTGATTTTGTCCGCAAGTTTTTTGCTTTGGTCATTCCCGATGTGGCGATACGTAGTCCTGTCTTTCAGTATAGCTTTCGCTTTATTGGTGTAGTCCGATTTGTCCATGATGACTGTCAGGCGTCACTTGTCGGCCGATAGAGAGAGATCGAAGAGGATAAAATGATGGTTTCCTTTGATGTGAACTCACTGTTTACATCGGTAGATATGGACACCGCCAAGATGACTCTCGCCAAACTGCTGGACGGATATGACAAACCAAATGGATCGCTGGAAAAAGAAGACCTCTGCGAATCGCTCAGCCTGTGCCTGACCACATATTTTGAACTCAACGGCGACTACTACAAACAGGTACGAGGAACACCGATGGGATCTCGGATTTCTGGATTTATTGCAGAAGTTGTAATGCAAGAACTAGAGCAAATTGTACTTCCGGACATAAACCCCAAGATATGGATCTGTTATGTAGACGACACTTTTGTCATTCTCAAAAGGAATGAACTTGAACCAACAAGTCACCTGATCAACAGCGTTTTCCACCATATTCTCATCACTAGGTTACCAAACGGACAACTGCAGACGGAAGTCTACAGGAAGGTAACGCACACAGACCAAATTCTGAGCTACCACAGCAATCACCCCAACTGTCACAAGCAAAGCTGCATCCGGACCCTATTCAAGCGTATTGAGACGCACTGGAACACTACGGAGTCAAAAGCCAGAGAAGAGAAACACTTGTACAGAGCTTTTCAGAGAAACGTATACCCGAGAAATTTCATCTGGCGGACACTGAGAAAACCCGATTTGACCAACCCTACATCACAAGGAGAAGGCAAACGGATCACACTTCCATATATCAGGAATATTTCGGAAATGACAGCACGCTTGCTACGACAGTACAACACAACAGTGTCCCACGAACCTGCAAACACCTTACGGAGAACACTATCAAACCCTAGAGGACGATTAGACACAAAGTTGAGGACCAACGTCGTGTACAAGATCCAGTGCGGAGATTGTGACAAACACTACGTGGGACAAACAGGAAGGAAGCTTTCTGCCAGGAGATATGAACACAAACTTGCAACCAAAAGGCATGACCAATTTTCGCTCGTCTCAGTACACGAAGATCAAGATGGACGCAAGTTCAACTGGAGCACCGTTCACATATTGGCTCAAGCGAGAACAAAGAAAGAACGTGAATTCATAGAAGCATGGCACTCTACTGAAAAAGCTACCAACAAACACATCGAAATTGATCCAGTCTATCGGCCACTGCAAACAAAAGAATTACGGAACTACAGAACGCAGAGGCGGACGAAGAGAAAAGAAACAAACAATCAGGCTGAAGCAAGGAAACTACCAAAAATAGAAGACACCGTCACAACCAAGCAGAATCAAGGAAGGAAGACCACAACGAAACACAAGCCGGGAACGGACCAATTGCAAACAGACCCGGAACACCCCAAAACAGCCATCCAACAAACCAATGGAATAAGAGACACATTGGCCACAACGCAGCAAAACAAAATCACGATCGATCCTACCATGATGCAACAGAAGGCATATACCGACTAGCCAGTCACATGACAGGATATTGAATACTCCACAAAAAACTACACAAACGCAGCTAGGCAAGGAGGAAACACCCATTCAACTGCGCACTGACGATGTCTCCTCGACTGGGGACGAAACGTTTGCAAGCCAATTGCCAAGCTCGGCGAACAGATCAACTGCCATCCCATTAGCCACCAATGACCAACCGCCTATTAAAGTCTCCTTTCGGTAAGGATTCTCTTTTGCGACTGGATTATGCTTAAGGTTCCCTGTCCGGTTCAGAGGGGGTCCTCGATTACTCCTAAATTTAACACGATAAACCTACTATTAACTGCCACCTACTGAGATGTTGTAGTGTATAATCTGGTATGCTACTGCAGAGCAAAGTCAATTTTATAGACACTCAACAGGGCTGTACAACTTCCGAATGGGAATTGACAAAGATCCTCCTACAAGGTCTCGAAGACTTCTCTGCTTTACAGGGGATGCCAAACTTTTACGCGCCTGCTCACTGGACGCCTTCTGCTGACAGTTTACCAAAATGCCCGAGTAAACCCAGTAAACGCAGTCGCATACATGACCCAGAGGACACTCACCAAGCTAAGTTTACTGTATCCAGATGTAAACGCTCCACCGACTGCGACCTATTCGTCTTTTTGTTCACCATTCCCATCGGAACCTTGTTAACTTATCCTCATTTATTTGACCGAAGAAAAACTGGAAATTTTTGGTAACAAATTAGTGAATAGAATTTATGGGTAAGTAATGGTTAAAGAAGCATGTTTGGCACGTTGTTGTCTAGACGTAACCCACTACTCATGAGGCCGCTGGGAACTCCTCGACCACCATAAACGAGAGATTTTGCCGGACTCTGCTGAGTCTCCTGTCAGAACCGAATTCCTGTGCAAATGAGAGCATTTGTCGAAATATATTCATTGCACTTTTTTCCTATTATTCCCATCGTAAACTTAAGCATTCCAAACACAGCCTTTGACATTCACACACGTTTTATCGTTTGTCAACCAACTGACGTTTGGAACTTCAAATCTTACAAGTTAGGTAGTTTTTCGCCGTAGTTGAGACTGATGACTTAATGCTGGTCAACCGTTCAGCATGCAGGATGGAAACGTCTTGTTGACGAACCGTCAGGAATCATATACCCAATCGTTTTCAGAGATTCACCGGAACATGTGCTTCGGACAGTCCTATGCCTATACAGAGGGTATTGCCTGTCATTGATCGCTGCTTTTTTTATAGCGCTACAGGGAAAATGTTTAAAAAGTCCCAATTCGCCTTCCGCCCTTCTTTTGTTCTGTCAATGTGGAAGACTTAGACGCGACGTCTTGTATCACTACTCTTCTTTTTCACGTACTGTGTCATGTCCAAACCCATCGTAGCGGCAGCAGCATATGGTTCACTCTAGAAACTGATTAGACCTTATTTCAACCGACCATCTTGCCACCACTTGCTAAATCCACTCGCACGTCCAAGACAAGTCCTACGCCTCGCGGTTTGGCATGCGCTTCACACCTGCAAAGTGTAAAGTACTACAGCAAGACTGGGTGGGCTCGAAACCTGGGCTCATGCTTGTAGCCAAACCGATTGAGGTGGTAGGTAAATTTGTTTACTTGGGCCGTTGTATCAGTCCCGGTGGTCTCGCGAAAGATGATATTTCCATCCGGATTGGGAAGGCCAGGGAAGCTTTTGTGAACCTGCATCACTCGTGGCGCAGGCGTTACATCAGCTTATCCGTCAATAGTCGAGTTTACAACGTCGCGGTGTGCTCCATACTACTATACGGATCAAAAACCGGGCCGTTGGGCGTTAAGGACGTAAAAAGTCTATCAGTGTTCGACCATTGATGTACCCGAATTGCAGTACCCGAATCTGGTGGGAACACCGGATCAGCAATACTGAGGTGCGTCGAATGGTATTCGGGAGAAACAACTCACCCTCGATAGATGAACTGATCACACTGCATGGGTTACGCTGGCTTGGTCACGTGTTGCGTATGCCAGTCGACCGACTTCCCCGAAGGGTTCTTTTCGCATAACCACGTAAAGGGTGGAAGAGAGCCAGAGGCGGTCAAACAATGACTTGGCAGCGAAGCATAAAACCATTGCCGGCAAACTCAACTGCGCTAGTCATTGCCATCTTCCTGGATGGGGACCCCGATACGGGCCATATCAATGGTTAGAGACATTGTCAGACATGGCCCAGTCGCGCCCTCAATGGCGTTCATGCATCAAAGCTATTGTCTTCAATGCATAGCTTTATTCACAATCCCCCCACTTAACAGTCCACTGACAGTTCTGTACTTACGCATAAATTTATCAGCTCTCACGTCCGATGCGCAGCTACATACCCTACCTCGACAACTCACAGGTGAACAGAACTGTGGCAGCTGCAGCCACTATTCGACAAGTACGCGGTTATTACAGCTGACATTGATGATGACGATGATGGTGATGATGATGATGATGATGATGATGATGATGATGATGATGATGATGATGATGATGATGATGATGATGATGATGATGATGCATCTTAGTTTCATCTTACCTTCCAGATGTTTGAGCTCCATTGGCAGTGTGAATCGGGTGTTATATTCGCGCACGGAGTTACGATCGTGATCATTGTGTCCTAGTCGATAGCGAATTAGCTGCACGGGAGAGAAATTGACTGGTAAATTGCCTGTCATTTATGTAAAATCACTGAACCTAAACAGGATAAGTATGAGCGCATTTAAACGTAAGGTATACAGAATGTCTACGAGTGTTGTTGGCTCTCTCCAGTCTAGTAGAAAGTTCAGCGAGAACACCGGCGGCCAATACAAATAACTTTAGGAACTGGGTTCATATGTCCGGGAAACCGTCTATTCTAGTCAGACGAGAATCCCGCGATTAGATATCCTGACTATGCCCCAATCCAGTTCCATAACCCTTATCTGAAAGTCCCATCGAATTCAGCAGTTTGTTGACATGGGAGCTTCTTTTAATGAAGCACTCGGTACATTCGAAGCTGGGAGCTTTTCAGGTTGTTGTTTCATGTCAGTCGCTACTCTTATGATTATTAGTAGGATGGAGAGATTTGGAAACATTTTTGACAGAGAGTTCTGGTCCTGTAAGTGAAGGCATTCTGTGCCAAAAATCCGT